TAGACAGATTGCTTGATTGTACCAGCCTGAGGCCTCTGATTTCCTGTCATCCTCATTTTCGCTGCTTAAAAAATGTATTGATCTCAAAGCAGCCATGGACAGTTTCAAGTATTATCACAGCAAATAGCACAGTGCAGAAACATATTTGGGAAACCCCATGGCTATACTTCCCATTACGAACTTGTGTGATATGTTTCATTTGGTCCAGAGCTGAAAGACTTCTTATCAAACTTTAAAATAAATAAATTTTAAAAATACCATTATTCTGGCATCAGTACTCCAGAGCAAGAGATTAAAGTTTATTTTCCCCAGTTATTCATGCCAATAAATATTTGATTTCTGAAAGTTCATAGGGAGTGAAAACCAAAGGGTCAGGATCCCATCTGAACTGAATTCTGTCTTAAAGGTAGATGATTATCCATGGAAATAAGCTTGTGGTATTTTCCTAGTTCCTAGAATAATAAAAAAATCTTAAATTCATCATTAATATGCTTTTTAATATTTATCCTTCTGCATGTGATTTCTCTGCTGCCTTTCTCCTTGATACCACTCCTAAAGCTCTATCCTCATCTGTGACACTGGTGCTAAAATATTGAGGCAGCAAAACTGGACAGCCTTTGGTTTTCTACTTCCAAGTGCTCTCTGTGGGTATGGCATTCCCTGTTTGGATAGCTGTTACATCACATTACCTGTCTATCCCCTGGCATTGTAGCAGTAACCTGGCACAGCAACTATTTCAGTGCTATTTCCCTCTGCTACTGGCACCAGCCAGTAGCATTTTATATACTGAATTATTTATGGAGTCATAGTTATTTAGTATCGATATGTCAATGTTACAATGCCCCTGTTGGCCATAAAGGAGCAAAATCTTTCTTTAATTAAAATTACATGGTTTGTGTCAACTTTCCTTGGACCTAACATTTTAAAACTGAGTTGGGATTTTGAATTCCATCCTACCAAATACCTGTGTTTTAAGCAAAGACTAAATACAGAGCTTTCTTTCAGTGAGACTGGTCTTGGAAGCCAATAATTTTATGTGTTTTAGGGAAGTTTATGTTATACTGGGGAGTTTACAATGGACTTCATTGAACTGAAGACCACAGTGGCAGTATTTTTATTATAAGTAACTTCTAAGAAGGAGGAAGCAGTGTATAATTCAGACTGTCAGTGCTCCTGTCTAAAAGGAAAAAGCTTAAGATGCCTCGATAGTTTGAAAATCTGCTGAATATTGAGGGCAAACTATAATGAAGATAATTAATTGGGTTTTTTTAAATAATGAACAGCTGTCCTTTTTGAAAAAATGTTGTATCATTTTGCATTGTAGAAATACACCGAACTACCACATAATTTAATTACACGACCACCCTGCAAGTTCCATGAGCCATACTCAGTCCTGGCATAAGCGGGTGCAAATCCCTGTGGGAATTGCACCCGCTTATGCCAAAGCTAAATATGATCCAGTGTTGTTTTCCCTTCTCTCTGAGAGCTGGATGGTATGGAGATCCACTTCATACTGTGCTGTTCTTGGAGGTATTACCTTTTTTCCACACACAGAGCAATTCTATACTTGATGTTGAATTGACTTTTGCTATAATTTTCAGGAGAAAACCAAAAAAGGCTCCTGAACAGAGTACACAAAGGCAGTTGTTAAGTATTTAAGGTTATCATAAACAGAAAGCAAACTTCATAATTTTCTAAGTCATTTCTGCCATAGAAACAGCACTGGCCATTTGTAGAGAGGGACAAGAATAGAGCAACCATTAGATGTTTATCAAGTCTGCTCCCTTGATGACATGCCTTCATCTGATACACATTGTGATACACAGCCTTCATCTGGTGCTTAAAGAAGTAATTAATTCTGTATTTGTCCAGGATCTTTGCTTTATTCAAGGTGTGAAGTTGCCACTGACTTCAAGCTGGCTTTTATTTCTTCAGTGGTCTCCTCTGATATGGGGGAAAAAAACTTTGTAAGAAACTTTCCATGTGCTCCCTGCTTGTTCCATACAGCTCCCCCAGTAACCTTTTTCTTCCTGTCTTGTATTACCTGCAGGTTAGTTAACACCTTTTGATTTATTTTCAAATCCAGAGGCCTTCTTTCCAGATGGAGAAAAAGACATCTCAGAATGGATAAGAATCTTTGGGAGATGGCTAGACGGCTCTTCTGAAGTGGAATACTTTTATCAGCTTTATTTAAAACAAATCCTCTACCTGCTCCAGGTTAACCCCTTGCTGTACACGTGTGATGTGTGCAGCCCCATGGAGCCCAGAGGTGGCACAGAGCAGTGTAGAAGGTACAGGGAAGATGATTCAAACTTTTCAGTCTTGCAGAACATCTTGAATAGCTTTGGCTCACTCCAATCAGCCACAGTGAGCCAACATGTGCATGCCAGGCAGGGGGATAGCCCTGGACCTTTTAATTTCTAGAACTTGATTTTAAACATTTGACTCAGATGGAAATCAGGCAAGAATTACAAATGAAGTATTCTGTAAGGAACAGCTAGTGTCAGGAGGAGCCTTGTTCTTTCCAAACATTGAGAAACAAGAATCTCTATTGAGCACAGAGACAATGAAAGGCAAAAAACACATCAAACAAGTACCCAAAGTTTATAAAATAGGCACGTAGTCATGACCTTCCTCCAGTTGTTGCACAGACATGTGCACGCACACATCAGCCTTTGACTCCAACAGGAGTTGCTCACATGTGTCTTTGGACAGATCTTGTCCCTAAACTGATTTATGGCCAAAGGAAACTTGGGCTCTGATTCAGGTTCAAATCAGGTTCAGCATGGAAAATCTTGAACTTGGAGTCAGACCCTAAAGCAGCACTTTAGAAAGGCAAACCAGCTTTTCTCCCTAGCTGAAGCTCTCTAGCCTTGTTCTCGGGTCTAGCATGCCCTTCTGCCTCCCTCCTCACTGAATCACAATTATTTTTAAAGGGATCTTTATTCCACCCAGGAGAATATAGCACAGGCAGTTGGCTAGCAATGGTGCCTTGGAGCTCAGCCACCTGGGGCAAGTGTGAGACTGCACATGCAGGGAAGAGGAGAAAGCAGCAAGTGACAGAGAGACCCTTTTGCTGCAAGAGCCTGGGAGAGTCAAACCAGAGACTCCCAGAGGCTCAAATCTCAACTGCTTAAAGGGACCGATACCATGATGTTTAAACTAAACAGACTGCTGTCGCTGTTTAGTTTGGGGTTTCTTTGTTTATTTTATTTTGTTATTTTTAACACAAGTAGATGTCATCATGCACTTATTTCTGTATTGTCTCTTGCTGACAGTGAGGAATGGATTTCTATGATGATTGTGCATGACTGGGCAAAGATGACCTTTGACATTTTATTCCCAAACAGTGGTGACCTGTCCTTTTCCTGACAAAACAGGGAAGGTACTTAATTTAGATTTATCTGCTTCTCTTCCTACAGCATGTTGCTTGCTCTTGGTGAAAGGTTCTAAGTAATCAGATTAAAATGCAGTATGTTGTTACAACTAAGAACGTTCACTTAAAATTCACTCTACAGTAAATCCCAGCCCAATCAGTGTAGGGGTAGACCAACCAAATAACTGCAAGCAGTTCATCCCACTGCCTCTCAATAAGAAGTACTGGGCATCCCAAACCTGTGTTCACAGAGTTCCACTTATGTTTCAGAGCCCACCCTGCTCCAGCACAGCTGCCAGGCTAATGCCCCCAGCAGGATATTGGCAAACACAATCTCATTTTGGATAATATATTTTCATATTTATTGAGCAAAAACGTCTCAGGCTTCTATTTAACTGTTTGTTGGAGCTTTGTTTGTTTTGATTTGAATTGGTTTTGTTTTTTTGGGGTTTTTTGATTTTGGGGTTTTTTGTTTTGTTTTTGGTAGTGGATTTTTTGTGTGGTTTTTTCTGGGGTTTTTTTTTCTGTTTTGTTTTTCTTTTCAACACATTTGGATTCTCACCAAATTCAGAGGTGTAGCTCATTTTGGAACACATCCCTCCTGTGCTTCTCAATGCAGGTAGAATCAGACTGTCTCTTGATTTCGAAACACTTGCATCCCTCAAAACTGACCTGTTTTCAGAGAGGACAACCACCTGTAATACCTATTTGACAGCAGGTCTTGAAGGATTTCTTAGAGCCAAGCTTCTTTTCCCAGCTCATACCAATGCCATGGAGCCAAATAATTGTTAAAAATCACTCTAACATAGTTGTGGATTTTTAAAGTTTCTCGGTTCATCTGTGAAAAGCATGTGAGCAGCATGACTAAATATTACTTCCAATTTTTCCACGTTCCTGTCATGTCACAGAGGCATTTGACATCAATTCCTTTGTTGGGTTTGAGTGTCTCTATACCCTTATTTTAGCTAAAATCTGATCACCACCTATTATGCAGGAATGTATTTAAGTGTCTTCTAAACAGGAAGAATTTTTTTCTTGCACATCTTACTCTGTACTTTCTCAATTTCAAAGGGTAGGTGACCATTAAAAATTTTGAAATTACTTTACTTTTGCTTCCTGTTCTTTCACTAATTTGCTCTTTCTTTGGTTTTGTTTTTCTTCTATTTCCCCTCTGCTCACTCTGCACATAAAGCCCAGAAGTTTAATGAGGAAAATCAAGTGTATAAGTTTATAGTCTGTGCAATAGATAGCACCATTGTAATCTGTCCCAAGAAAGAATTACTCATTGCTGTGTTTCTGCAGGCCCTGCCCTGCTCATTTTCCTCTGCAAGGAACTAACATAGCTGTTCTTCTTGCTGTCTCCTGGTTTGGACCAGAGTTGTAAGCTTTTTGCAATTTCTCTTGAGCAAATTACTTTCACAGTTTTACAAATTACTCTGTATATCAACCCTGAATACTTGCTGTCATGAAAAAAGTTAAAGACACTAGATCAGGGAAGAAAGGTGAGTCCAAGTTAAAATTAAAAATTTCCCGTGAATACGTGATAGTTTGAAAATGTGCTTGTTTCTTGTTGATTTTCTGCCTAGCCTCATTATCCCCACCACATTCCCTTTATCTTTTTCAGTTTTGAGCATTGCTTGTTGCATCCTTTTGAGTCAACGCCACAGGTTTTTGAAGAACAAGGTGGTGAGTTAACTCAGCACTTTTTGTACATTTAGAAATTTTTTAGACTCACAGGCCAACTGACTTTACTGCAGTATCTGTGAGCTTCAGTGTCTAGAGCTGATAGAGTCAGGGGAAAGCTTGTTATCCCCTTGATTCAAGCATGGACCTTTCTTCAGGGAAATGCTGCCAGAATGGTGCTAATGAGAGCCAATTGTACGGAATTGAGTCGTGGTACTGGCATCCACCCATCTTGAATGATGACAGATCCATCAACTTGTTTTATTTTAGCCATTAACAGGAAGAGAACCTATAAATAGCCCTATAGGAGCAATTAAAACTATTGCCTAAATCAAAAGAAATTGCCCAAGTGTTTATTTATACAGCTGGAATACTTTGTGTCAGTGCTGCATAGCTGTATAACTAGCAAACTTTATCTTTAATTGATGGGTTACTGGAAATGACTTGGTAAAACTAGTAGGGAAAAGTTGAGTTGTAGAGTAGCACAAGACCATTAATTGCATCGGGTCAAGCAGCCACTGTCTTCACCTGAAACTGTTTTAACTTTACTGGGTTTAGTTCTTCGTGTCCTCAGCTGAAAACCATTTATGTACTGTAATAATCTGGTTCATTATCCTGGGGTCTTGTCTCTGGGCTGTCTTCTACTGCTGTGGTTGGATTCACCTAAAAGCAGAGTTCTTCCAAGGCTGATGTTGTCCAAAAATGAAAGAAGGTGTTATCCTTAAGCTAAAGTGCTTGCAGTCCTAATATTTGGTGTGGAAATGAGAGGTAAAGAGTCCTTCTGCACGTAATACCCAGCAGGGCTAGGGTGGAAGCTGTAACCTCTATGTGTAAGCTGTAACCTCCATGTGTAAGTCCTGTGTCCTATCTGCTTGCACAGTCAGCTTCTAACACCGTGTACTGACTTTTTCTTGAGAACTACTGCAGGGAAAGCCAAGTGTTCAAATAAAAATGGCTCATTCCCATTTAAGAGCTAGGGGAAGAGAAGAAAAGAAGCACTAGGCATTTTCAGCCAACCCAAGGGAAGTTCTGGGCAACATGGAGAAAAGGGACTTTGGAGCTTGTTCTAGACCTTATTGCAAGATATCCTCTAAGAGAGGATGTGCTGAAGTCTTCTGGTAGCTGCCCACATGTGGTGCAAAGCTGTCTCAGCCTGACAGCATGCCCAGAAAAGTGTGTAGATGCAGAGATGGGAGTTTCTGGCACCGCTTTGAGTCTTAAATAATTAACCAGGGCACCACTTTGCCTGAGCAATGTAAAGGGGCTGGACCTGTGAACTGGTTCAGAAAGGAGAAGAGGTTTTCAAAAGCACTAAGGAGCATTTAAGCTGTTACCTGTCAGCAACACCTTTGAAAAATCTCTCTTAACTAAACCATAACTTCCCAAAAGCACTAGGTGATTTTCAGTTTGGAATCCGCCCCCTGTTCAGCAGCAAAGGGTGTTTGCTAAAAAGCCACCCACTATTCCAGGCATGATGCCACAGCCTCTCAGCTCAATGAATAATGTTTAACAGTGTGAATTTTATTATTTAAACTTTGAGGGCCCCACAAAGCTCCAAGTTCATAGACAAAACCTCCCAAAGTACCCAGTGAAAGTGCAAAACCAGAATCATCTTTGCATTCAGTGCACCCCTGAAATTTACTGGCTGTTTATATTGCTAGCTGCTACTGCTAAGAGAAGTCCTATAAATAACAATATGCGAGTTTAGGAAGAAAAGCATTGTGTAGATAACGATCCATTTGTAGCCTAGGGGCTGTGTGAGATCTCTGCTTGCTATTTCTTCCTGTGTTTATCCAGGAAAAACTACCTCTGAGAGCTGGGTAAAAGAAGGTGGGGTATTTCTTACTAATGTTAAAGTGAAGTATGGTCAAATTTTTTCTTACACAGATAAGGCTAAATGTAAATAAATTTTATGTAAATAAATAATGAATGTAAATAAATCATCCAAGCCAGCAAACTTCAGTCCTGAAACCCTGAAAGATTATTTGTGCCATTTTGGAGGAATACAGCAGAGAGACACTGATTTGTCCATATACAGTGGATCCTTTACTCCAGCAGCTCACATACTTCCCTGACATAGTCCATGTGGTTTTGATTATACTTGTGTTACTTCTGGTTAAAGACTCGCTTGTCAACATGACCAGGCCACCTCAAACAGATCTTATTGTACTTTTTCCTCTTGTAAGAGAGGCAGCCAAGGGAAGATGATACAGAGGAATACTATGGGTTTTTTGAGGTTTTTTTTAATACTGCACCTTTGAGAAGAGAGACCAGAGTAAAAACAACAACTTGAAGTTAAAATACAGATGGAAAAATAAAGGATTCTCTACTGAATTCACCTATTTTTAACTGCTTTTAAAAAACCCACCATGAAGTCCATGTTCTTGTTTGCTCCCTTGGTTCACTATTCAGTCTTTTTTTAGTGGTACTTCATTTATCTCCATTTCACAAACCACAATTTTATTTTTTTTTAATCAGGCACAAAATACTTTTTTAAACTTTCTTAGCAGAACTATTAGTGATGTGGGCTTTTGTACCTCTGATGTCTCAAGATCTACAAGCATGATCTCAGTGAACACTGAAATGGGATGAGTGACCTGAAGGGGCAGTCATGCAATGAGCACATGCCCGTATTGCCACAGTATTTCTTCTGGGGTTTAGCTGTTCACTTTGCACTGAGGTTTAGTTGCAGACATTTCCAACTGTTTCCCAGGGTTATTCTCCATTAATGGGTTTTTATGTAGAAAAGTTGCTCAGAAACATTTTTTCCAATAAAACAGCTCCCTTTAACCACAAGCATGTAATACAATGGCTTACAAAAGCTGAGCCAAAGAGTGTGTTTATCCCTTTTATTTCACTGCTTCCAGTGATCTCCTGCCTCATTCCAGATTCCTGTTTGTTTGTGGAAATGGGTTCAAGGAATTTAACTTGCCTAGAAGACTGTTGTGACTACAGTCATAGGCCATCTTGTGATTTTTCAGATCCAGTATCAGACAGCTTTTCACCACTTGCAATACTGCAGACAGAGATCAAACCCTGCCAAGTTATTGTCTGCAGTTATTATCCTCCTGATAATAGGAGAAATGACTGCACAAAAGGGCAGGGGCATCTTTTACATCCCTATAGCCATGTAATCAGTTTTGACGGATGGGGAGAGGAGGAGCATGCAAATGGAAACAAAACACTATTGACCATAATTCACCTGCTGGTTTCATCACAGTGTATGGAGCACCTGCTAAGTTCTAGCTGTGTATTCTCCCTTTTGGTGCAGTTGACAGAGAGTTGGGCAGTCCTTAGCAGGAAATCTTTGTTGGAAACTGCCCTGATGCTGTGGATAGTCACTGAGAGGCACAAAATGAAGAGTTGACTGGCCATGGGTGTTTTGGCCTCTGTATCACATGCACATGATGGAACTGGAGGGTCCCAAAAGGTAGCGGATACTCTGCCTCTAAATGTTGAGCAACCACTAACAAGCCATCACACACTGGCCTGTCTTGTTTCCTCCTGCTCCTGAAATAGGAGTGATTATTACAGTCCAGGCTCTGGAGCCACACAGAGCCTGGGAAGCTGGATGTTGAATATCTTTGCAGCCCAACTCCTATTTTAAGTGACTTCCTTTTTATAGCATTATTTCCAGGTGGGAGGATGTATTTCTGTGCATCAAGTCTCCTGTTTTTCTTCCTTGAGAGGAGTTTTAAATAGCATGCAAGAATTGTCAGGGTGTATGTCTTTTAACTATTTAGAAGGGGTTTTTTTTATGTAACTTGCAGAATTTGTGACCTTGGTGCACCTAGTGGGGCAATAGGCTCCACCAGGAGCTGGGTAGGGACACTTGGTCACAGTCCCATGGTGGTCCCCCAGACCGTTGGTGTCACCTTGTTCTCATGCCACAAACTCATGCTTTCCCTAGCTGGAGGGAGTTGCCTTCAAGGGTATTCTCACGGGTGCAGACCACAAACCTGAGCAGGAGGCTGGGCCCCTGCACCTTCCTATGAGGGTAATAGTAATCTCTACCTTATCTCTTGTTTTCAAAACATTAAACAGGACTGAGAGTTTACGACAGCTATGCTAAGGCAAAAGAGAATCTGTATGGTTGGATTAAATCCTCTCTTTCCTCTCCTTTGGAAAAGAAAACTTGCAGTGTGTTATTTTGCCTTAGACTTCAATATTGTCAGGTCTTTACAAAGAAGAAAAGCAGCAATGGAAAATAGGCTGGGGTCTGGTTTTGGCCTGATAGGAGTGGCTCTGATACAGGCCGTATTACCTCCCTCAGGTTGTTGAGATGATGGTGTCATTTGACTTGGATGTATGCTGTGTCTCACTGTTGCCTCAATCAGTCCATCCATCTCTTAATCATCATCACGTTTTCTGTCTTGGAATTATTTTATCTAATGACACTGTCAGCCAAAGTTCATCCCTTCTTCTGTCATGTATGCCCTGAGGCCTTTCACAAACAGGCAAGTAATGTCTTTTGTCTGTCTCTCTGTTTTCACTGTTACCCAAATCTGCTTTTTCTTTTTTCCATTTCACTGCAGATGTGCAGATAAGCAACAGAGTTGTTTTAGAAAGTCTTTGTTTTGCTCTAGTTATTGGCTACTTTGGACAGTGTCCTTATTATTTAGTCTCCTTTTCAAGATATATTCCACACTGCATCCCGGTCCAATTGTTGATTTAATTGTTGAGGGGTTTTTGAAATTTTTTTTGACTGGTAGTTTTTTTTGGACAAACATTTCCTTTTTCAGCTTTCAACAAAGATGTCATAGGTATTTCATAGAATCATGGAACTGTCCAATGTTTTGGATTGGAAGTGACCTTAAAGATCATCTAAACCTCTAGCCCTAAAGATCATAATTTCAACCTCTGCTATGGGAAGAGATTTCTATGTGTCTATGTTTTCAGCAGTGTGTGGGTTACCCATTTGACTGGCTATACTTCAACCCAAAAGTCGTAACTTTTATACAAAATTAATTTGTGAAGTCAGCATGGAAAGCAGCGCTGAACTT